TTTCGAGAGATAGGAGTTCTTATAGAAATCCCATGAGTTTCTGACCAAATTGTTCCTGCAATATTCTTAAGCAAAGCTTACACCCATACCCGTCTTTTAATATTAAAGGTTTATTTCTTATTTTAACGTTTTGCACCAATCAAAACTCAATTATTTTCTCAACTCGAAGCATTGTTCAAGAAGTTAATGAAAGTCTCTGATTCTCAGTAAGTCCGGTCCTTGTGGAAACGATCTTGGTACTATACCACTCTATTACTTAAAGCGATCTTAGTGTCGGCGTGCACTTGCACCGCCACTTTGGGGATTTTATGCCCAATGTGTGCACGCTTACGATTATAGCACATCAAGGTGCACCAGATCAATCCTCGTATTAAGTACGATTCATGGTTGGTTTGAGATTAGAAGTGATCAAATGTCTAGATCGCTTCTTATTCTTATTTTTCTCATTTTACCACTCTTCTTCTAACATGATCCTTTTATATAAAGTTTGTTTCAAATACAACCTATCGTATTTGTACAACCAATGCAACCCAATAAATTGAGATATTTATGGAAATGATAAGAGTTCATTTATTATGACTTGAATATTTATGGAAGATGAATATGGTTCATTAATTATGATCAATACTTTATATTAGAAAACAATCAAAACTTTTATGAAATCACATATTAATCAAATGAAATGGACGGTTGAGATTGGGTTGTATTGGTTGCACAAATGTGAATGATTGTATAATAACCAATCTCTCTCTCTCTCTCTCTCTCTATATATATATATATATATATATATATATATAGGGGCTGGTTCAAATGTTAACCAAGATTATTTGGTTAACTTTGTTAACTAATCTTGACTATTGATTCTTACAATAAACGGTTGTGATTAATCATGATAAAAAATTAATTTTTTAAATTTACAATTTCAAAAAACATATGTGAACAAAGGGGAAAAAGGTATTTAGGTAATTTTCTTTTTTATGTAACTCCCATATCATTAATTGGGAGTTACAAAATCAAAAAATCTCATTCTTTTTGTTAATGTAAAAACCATATGAACACACACACACACGCATATATATATATAGACATATGAACAGCATGTGAACCCTATGAACAATATGTGAACCGTATGAACATCTTTTGTATATTCAGGAGCCAACTCTGTTGTATGTACATGAACTCGTATGAACCAAGGCATCTAGGGTTGTTTTCATACGTGCTCACATGTCTTCACATGTTTTCACATGTTATGTGTGTGTTTGTGTATATGGATTCATATGAATATCTAGTGACTTTAATAGACATGAACATTTATGAATCACGACATCTAAGACTGTGTGTTTTCTAATGTGTTCATATGTCTTCATGTGTCTGTGTGTGTCTCTATGTCTTCATATGAGCATCTAATGCACTATGTGTTGACTTCATATTCTTCACATGTAAACTGATTGAATCTCTCAACAGAGCCATCTCCTGAATATACATAAGTTGTTCAACATGTCAGCTGTAGTCACCTTTTTTGCAAGATAAGTGAAAACTATCAAAGGTGAGAACTGTCGATTAAAACGAATGCAATATAATATTAATCCATTACCAATACAAACGCTTTAATCATTGTTTTCACTTCCGGAACTCGAAGTCCGATTGTTATCGTAAACCATTTTAACCTTCTCATTCCCATTGTTGTCGATCTGTTTTCCAATGGGTTTTTCTATATTAGCTTGGACGATATCGAAAACTTTACTATCGGAAATACTTTAACAATCACAAATTCAATAACATTATAGATAGATAAATCAAATTTAAAAAATAATCACAAATTGAAAAAGAAGATCAATATTAAATCATCATCAATTATGAGATTTTTATATTTTGTAACTCCTAATTAATGATACGGGAGTTACACAAAATGGTAGAATTGCTTAATTACCCTTGTCATTAACATATGAGATGTATGTAAATCTAAAGAAAAGATTGATTTTCATTGGTTGAGTTTGGTTAACAAAGTTAACACAATAATCTTGGTTAACATTTGAATCAAACTCTCTCTCTCTCTCTCTCTCTCTTATATATATATATAGATAGATAGATAGATAAAATTGTAACTAACTTATCTTTAACTTTCTCAAACTGTAAAATAAAATTGAGAAAGACGAGCAACATAATAAAGTATGAATTGTGATTGAAGATTCGAGTCTAGATTTTAAAACCGCACTGCATTACACGAATAGAATTCTAATATGTATATATATATATATATATATATATATATATATTGTTGGGTCAATTATGATATTTATTTAAATTTTATAGTGTGAGAAATACACTGAACTATGGAAGCCAACACTTTTTGGGCAAATAAGTTCTGCCTTGGAACATACCCAAGAATATTACCACATTACTCTACCTAAAAGCATAACTTCAACTTTCCCTCCACAAAAAAGAATATAGTTTCTATTTCAAGCTACATTAACCTTTTCTTCAAATACAATCATTCCCTTACAACTCTTTTCCATTTTCTCGAGTTATAAATCACTCTTTCTTTCAAACTTAACATCACCCAGAGGCCAGAGCTTGATCTGTGGCCATGGCACTCCCAACTTTGGTGCTTTTGTCTCTTATCTTCTCCTCCTCCTCCATCATCATACATGTCTCCTCTCAAACCCTACCACTTCATGGCAATCAAGAACAAACCATGCAGGAGAATCCATTGATTCTTCAAGCTTGTAGCAATATCAAGGATCGAACAGCTTGTCTCTCTAACCTCAAATCGTTTCTTGATGACCATAGTCCAATGAACCACAAACCTGACTCAATCTTGCGAGCCGCCCTAAAGGCCACCCTCAATGAGACACAGCTAGCCATGCAGACCTTCACCAAGTTCACCTCACTGTCCTCAAGTTCTCGAGAGCAAATGGCCATTGAAGACTGCAAAGAACTGCTTGATTTCTCGGTTTCAGAGCTCGCATGGTCCTTAGCCGAGATGAAGAAGATCAGAGCTGGATCCCAAAACCCTCGTTACCAAGGGAACTTAAAATCATGGCTCAGTGCTGCATTAAGCAACCAAGATACTTGCCTTGAAGGCTTTGAAGGAACAGATAGACATCTTGAGAGTTTTATAAGAGGAAGCCTAACACAAGTTACGCAACTCATTAGTAATGTATTGACGTTGTATACTCAACTACATACCCTACCCTTCAAACCACCTGCAAATAGTGATAGAACTTATAATACCTTTTATCCGAAATGGATGACGGAGGGCGATAAGAATCTGCTGCTTTCGGGTCCAGAAGGGATGCATGCCGACGTGGTAGTGTCGTTGGATGGATCCGGGCATTATCGTTCGATTTCTGAAGCGATTAATGAAGCTCCTAATTATAGTGTCAGGAGGTATGTTATATATGCGAAGAAAGGGGTTTATAAAGAGAATATAGATATGAAGAAGAAGAAGACCAACATAATGCTTATAGGGGATGGTGTTGGAGCCACAGTGGTGACCGGAGATAGGAATTTCATGCAAGGGTGGACTACATTTCGAACGGCCACAGTTGGTAAGAACCCAATCTTTTCTCTTACTACCCATGTAGCATTTAGGGAACAACATGAGACCTAAGGAATCATCTTCTTTGAACATGACCATGCCTCACATATTATTTTCACTTCAAGAAACTGTCTTTTATCTCCACCTACGTGACCTGATTCATCATTTGTTGATGATTTTAAGCGGTCTCCGGCCGGGGATTCATAGCAAGGGACATCACATTTCGCAATACCGCCGGCCCTCAGAGCCACCAAGGTGTTGCACTGCGTGTGGATTCCGACCAGTCTGCATTCTACAGGTGCAGCATGGAAGGCTATCAAGACACCCTCTACGCGCATTCTCTCCGCCAATTCTACCGTGAATGCAGCATTTCCGGCACCATAGACTTCATCTTCGGAAATGGCGCAGCAGTTCTCCAGAACTGCAAAATCTACACTCGGGAGCCTCTACCGCTGCAAAAGGTCACCATCACCGCTCAAGGCCGGAAAAACCCAAATCAGAATACAGGGTTTTCAATCCAAGATAGCTATGTTTATGCCACAAAACCGACTTATTTGGGGAGGCCATGGAAAGAATACTCTAGGACCGTGTTCATGAACACGTACATGAGTTCGATGGTCCAGCCACAAGGGTGGCTCGAATGGTATGGGAACTTTGCATTGAACACATTATGGTACGGTGAGTACAGGAATTACGGTCCTGGTGCATCACCGTCGGGGCGGATTCGATGGCCGGGCTACCACATGGCCATGGATGCATCAACAGCTAGTTCTTTCACGGTCCGAAGATTTATCGACGGGTTATCATGGTTACCAGCGACTGGAGTAACATTCTCAGCTGGTTTATCTAATTAATTAATTTATTAACAGAAGATGTTAAATCATGATGATTTTAACATTTGTTTGTTGTTATGTTCTGGTTGAAATTGGATTTAATCATAGTGATTCCGTATATAAATTTAGTGTGTATTTGATGTATACAAGAAATAAGTAATGGAGCTTTTTAATTTACGTGAATATATACAAGAACATGTGGTTGCACAAATTTCGAAGATAGGTTATTGCTTAATGTTATTAATTCTGGTCTCCCAGTTTTAGCTACTGATCTTCGACAACCTTTATCATATACGATGACTATTGATCCATGAATCGTGAGAGGTTAAGCCATGGTAGCCGAAATTAGGGAGAATGATTTTCTTGATTCATTAAACAGAATACAATCATTTAAATTTACAACAAATGGGCCATGGGCCAAACGCTAAACGGGCTAATAACTAAGCCTAATAACAATACAATAAAAAGATACAATATGATCTGCTAACACTGTATTTGTAACGCCCTGACCCACACATTGCATGTAACACATATTTCATATCAAAGAAATACATATTCATATACATCTGGGTCCCTTAATACAAGATTCAGTCATGACCAAATATAAGGTCCAAAAATTCAAAATACAATCTTGTACTAAACAACAAAACTGGTCATCAAAAGCAATTCCTCATCCGAAATGCATATAAGAAAARCATTAAATMTTTTCYTTTCCTTTACCTTCTACACCTCCTGCAATACATATTTTAAAATCACAAAAACGAGGGTTAGACTGAAGAGTCTAGTGAGTTACCCTAATCATGTAAATTGCAGGGTGAA